TAATCTATTCAGACATGAATTATGGAGCCAAATATTTCTCATGATCCTTCCATTATCTATAAATACAGAAAGTAAGACGCTTGGATTCCCTGCACTGCTGGATGTGTTCATACTCAGTATACAGTATACGGACTTGAAAGATTTTGGAAACCGTGTGCAGTACCTAGTTCAACAATGGGTTGCGTACCTTTATGGCGGACCGATCCAAGGAAATCTGTGTGTGTTCGATCCAAGAAAATCTGTATGTGTTGGCGCAGTGACACAAATATTAGACCATTTATTCGATCTGATAGAGATGGGAAATGCTGCTGGACCAAATCGACACCATTTCTGGCTATTTATGCAAATTTCGCAGTGTTTCACCCAAGAATGATTTTGATGAGAAGGTGGGCAGCTCCGTCAGCTTCGAGCCGCTTTGCCACTTGAGCACCACCAACTGCTTCCGGATTTGTTCCCGTCTCTTCCGAATCGTACTGGTGCTAAGCTGGAAAGGAGCAAGTGAAAAAAATACTTCTACTCATTTTTCCTCCTATTTCTGATTGGAATTTATTTTTTCACTTTTTCACCAGGTATTGCCTTCAATGTACGCAATAGAGGAGACAGTAAAGTTCACAATTTGTTTAAAATTATTGTCTAACGTTAAAATCTAAACAAATAATTTGAACAGTTCTATGGATAGAAAGCAAACCATATAAAAGTCTTCTCTTTCTTAAATGCCTGCTGGAAATCTCATATCTTGCATCATTAACAGGGGTCGAATTCTTAAACGATGCAAAACAAAGCACCTGGTGAAGTAAGCATTCTCGCAACTAAGAGTGCAAGTGTTGTAGATGAAACAACAGCTGCTACATTGCAATGCTGAAGGACAGACACATTAAACACCACAGCATAAAGAAGAAAAAACAACTGTAACTCCAACAAAATGCCCTGCTCATTTTACCGACTCAAATTTGATAATACAATACAGATGAACACTTTCACCATCAAATGTAATCATAATCAGTTATTAATGCACTTTCTTGCCGCCAGTTTGGCTGTGACTTCACTCCAACTTCACCAAAGAAAATGTGCTCTAGATAGCCAGCTCATGGCGCATACTAGTTGTCCACAATTTCAGCGTAATTATTGCAAATTTGCCTCTTCAAATCAACGACTAGATAGTAATTTTTTAAATGAATAACTTTAATCTCATGCCAATTGAAAGAAAGCCTGCTCCGAAGTTCCGAACCTCCGAAAAGTCATTTTTGGCCTTTTCACTCTCAGACCATTATGACGTCGAATTTCTTATGCTAAGCTCATAGTCAATCCAGAAGCCTGCAACATGATGTAACGTATATACAGAGTAATCTGTGTGCCGGAGCAAGCGCGTCTACTAGCCTGCACGCATGGGTGCGGGTGGGTTTGCCTATCACTGTAGCCGCGGCGCCTTGTGATCCCGTGAGAATAGGCAACCCGCCCGTATTTGGTCCGACGGAGCACAGCGAACACTTTATTTAGAACTGCCGTGCAAAATCCTTACACCATGACTTTGCCTTTTCGTGAAAGTTAACTTGGCGTGTTGACTCTCCACAAAACTTAAGGTGCAAATGCAAAGCGGGTCACGGGATGCGGCAGCCAATGACAACGCGATAAAGTCTGAGAGTGACAAGTCGAATGTGATCATTTTGCAATGCCAGGTTTACGCTAATATCACAGTCATTGATTCAAAGCAGTACCTATACAGTGCATCCGGGCAGACTAGGGAGCAATAATCAGCCACACCACGTTACGTGATAGCTGGAAACTGTCTTCCCTTACCAACATTTTACGGAGTTCCTTGATTAGGACAGATTAGATAAAAAAATTATAACTGGAGAGCTTCGGAACAGAAGTTATGTTGAAGTGAGTTTTACGTTAGAAAGTTGAACTTTTTGGTATAACTTTTGTTTTCAAATACAAGAAATAAAGTGAAGACTGGAGTGAAGTGCGCAATTTGTCTTGGACAGTCACTCACAGCCACGGCTGGCACATAGCGCTACACAAAACGAACCAGCACCGCCTGACTGACTCTCTACAACTGAAAAGTGACACGAGTGATTTGGCGGGCACACGCGCGCGGTCGGAAGCGCATACCGCCCTGTGGCATCGAGGCGAAGGGGCGGGAAGGTGGATCGAGCGCTGCACGGCCGGCACGCCGCGGGCAACCTCTAGCAGCGGGCCCGGGTCCCGGCCCGGCCCTTAGCGCGTGAACGCCACGGCCGGGGCCGTGAGGAAGAAGTGGGCCAGGCAGGGCTGCTTGGCGCAGGTCTCGGTGTCGCCCTCGTGCCGCCTGCGGTACAGCTGCACGATGCTCTCCACGGCTCCGCGACAGTCCTCCTCGCGCTTCGCGGACGACGCGGACGCGCACAGGTCGGCGCCGCTGCGCCCCAGCTCGGCCTCGCACGAAGACCCCACCGGCAGTCCTATGATGGCCGCTCTCTGCAACAGAACAGGCGAGTCAGCGCCGGCCGACTGGGACTGACGAAGCGACCTAATAGTCAGTATGCCGGTCGCGCTGGTCGCGCTGCTTACGCAGAGGTGGCAGGCCTGGTACAGCACGCAGAGGGGCAGCAGGCCGTCGTTGGAGCCCACGGCGCTGCGGCAGCTCTCGGTGAGGCGCGACACGGCGGGGCACGCCCCGACGTAGGGCACGTAGTCCTCATCGGCGTCCTGGACCTGTCGGGAGCCCCACGGCAGCCCCCCGAGCAGCAGCGTGTCGGGAGAGGCGCCCTCGCGCTTGATGGCCACGCGCTTGTCTGGAACAGGGCGAGCAGAGAAGTGACGGGGGCGGTCAGCCTGCAAAGCGCGGGTAGGCAACGCGGGTGTAGCGGTGTGCGGCGGGACTGCCTGCCTCACGGCGCTAGAGACGGGACGGATGCTGGAGGCTAGCTGAACCAGACGCGCATCCCGCCATGATTTGTATTCCATTTTTAGGTAGCCTTTGTGTATTTTCTAGGTTTTAGACTGTACAAATCTCGGTCCGTATTTTTGACCGAGTGTAAGTAGAAACCTCCAAACAGCGAGCTACTCGAGCTAAATGTCTATCTCCTCCCCCCTCCCCCTTTCACCCATGTCGAAGAAGAGGTCACGCTCGCGCAGCCCGCTCTTTGCAGGCGAAACCGAGGGAAAGCCGACAACTATGACGCACCCGAAGTGAATTTACTTACTGATATTGCTGGGCTTGGAGAACTTGTTGGAGAAAGCCCTGCGAGACAAGCACAATAGAATATTAGAGGTTTTGGCGGACGTCGCCAGTTTACGGACACATTCTAACCGAGTGCCTTTCTGTACCAACGGTGGCTCATGGCCCCGCCGCTCTCGCATGCTCACATGAGGTTGTGGCGCATCAGCCAGTCGGCGTCCAACTGCGCCGCCAGGTCGCTCGACTCCACGTCGTTGAGGGACAGCGACTTCTTGCGGCGACGGTCGATGCCGAAGTACTGCGACCAGTCGACGGACTTCTTGGTCAGGCGGCGGTGCTGAGTCGGGTGCGACGCTTCCTCGCCATGAGCCCCCATCACGGGGCCGCCGGCTGCGCCTGCCGGGCCGCCCGGCTTCACAGTGGGCACGGCCTGCGAGGGTCACACACAAGGTTCCATTTACGTGTTGGACAGCGCGCTTTGTCTACAGACGAGCTGCTCGAGGCCCTTTCACCGTGCTCACCGTGGGCTTCTTGTCCTCGGCGTGCAGGGCCTGGTCGTGGCTGTGCGGCCCCTCGGCGGACACCATGGGCGGGGCGTGCTCCGGGCCGTGCACCACGACGTTCACCTTGCCGGCGGCGGGCGCGTGCGCGTCGTGCGCCGCGTGCTGCGCGTGGTCCAGGGCGATCTTGTCCGTCTCGTGCGCGTGCCCGATGGGGTTGATGCCGGCCATGGCGGGGGCCGCCGAGGCGTTCTTGACGGCCGGGGCCGCGGTGGAGACGGGCGGGGCGTGGGTGGTTTGCTCCGCGGTGACCTCTGGCGGCGCGCCGGCCAGCGGCAGGGCCAGTGGGGGCTCCAGCTCGCCGTCGGGCTCGTTCTCGCCGAAGATGGCCATCAGGTCCTGCTTGGCGTCGTGCGCCTGCGACGGCTGCGGGATGTCCAGCGCCGGGCGGGTGCTCTTCTTACGGCGTCGCATGGCGCGGCCCTGCAGCCCCGGCAGCACGGCCTCCGGCACGGCCTCGGGCTTCTCCTCGGGGACCTGCGCGGACTGCAAGGCACGGCGTCACCACCAGGCACCAGGCCTCCCCTCCGGCAAACAGCGACTTTGAGTCTCTTACCTGGCGAGAGAGACTGCGCTTGGAGAGCAGCAGGCGCTTGACGGCCGGGTCGTTGTAGCGTTCGTCGAACAGCTGCTGGGTGAGCAGCATGGCCAGGCGGTTGTTTGGCATGCCAGGACCCACCACGTCCTGCTCGGCGTCCTCCGGGGCGACGGCCGCCTCATCCGACCACTCGGCTGAATCGTCCTGCAAAGAACTCGACGAGTGTAAGGACAAGCAAGAGCCCGCGCCGCGCCGGACAGTGCCTCGGACAGTGTCCCGGACACACCCTCACCTGGTAGTCGGCGTTGGCGGAGCGCTTCCGGAGCTGGTAGCCGCTCCACGCCAGCGGCGCTGCCCAGTCAAATGGCGTGGCGCCGCCGTTGGCGAACTGGCGTCCAGGGTTGGAGGCCCGCTTGCGGGTGCCGGGGATGTCCTCTGCAAAGGGGGAAGGCTCCCCGTCAGCCGGTGGCGATACGCCGGGGATAGGAAGTCGCTCAAAGAGCGGCAGGCTGTTCTTACCGCCTAGCGCTTCGAGGAACTGCAGCGTCTCCAGGTCGGTGAGGTCATCGGGGCCCACGTCGATGGCGCCCGTCTGCTGCTGGTACCTGGCCCACGCCTCGCGCAGTGCCTGCAGGTAGCGCTCCGGGTTGTCCAGGGGGTCTGCGGGTATAAGAGACACCACCGGTCAGTACAACACAACACGCGGCGCGTGCAGCGATGCTGCAGCGTGCTCACGGGCTGCAGACTGACTGACCGCTGGGCCCGCCCGCGGGGTAGAAGGAGCTGATGCTGGGAGTGCCAGCGCTGTCGCGCCGCCAGTCTCCCCGGTCTCCCCACGGCTGCCGCTGCTGCCTGCGCTGCCTCGACGCCATCCGCTCTCTGAAGGCCGACGACGTGATGGGTTCCTCGCCGCCCGCCTCGTTCATGGTGCGGTGCTTCAGACCTGTACATGGATCCAGTTAGTACCGTTTTTCAATAACTAGAGTGCTGCGGGTCTAATGGTGCGGCGGCGTCGAGGCGCGTACCCTGCTCGTCCTGCAGGGCCGACCTCTCCATGAGCAGGAGCCCGCTGCCGTCGGGCCGCGTGTTCCGGATGTTCCTGGCGGTGGAGCGGGCTCTCTGGAAACCATAGCCAATGTCCTCGGGCTGGCCGTCGTCTGGAACCGAACCGATAAACGAGCGTGGATCAACGACTCGTCAGGGCGAGAAGGTCATTATAGGAACTCGACAAACACGATGATATCGTACCAAGGATCTGCTCGAGGCCGAGTGTGCGGGCGTGCTGGCTCGCGGCCGCCGCCAGCAGCCCGAAGCACAGCCCGGCGGTGAGGCTCAGCCATGTCATGGTGTTTCGCGTCCTCAGCTGCAACAACGGCAATGTCGAGATTAGAAGTGTTCTAGGTGACCACCACCACCCGCAGCGTGGCGCGGTGGCCCCACGGACGCGAGTTAGTCTTCATGAATCTGTCAGAACCATTCAATGTGAAGAAATCCCTGCAACGCACTACAGACACTGCGTCATAGCTGCCGCCGCCACTGAGGGCTCCACACAAGTGGAGGGGGAGAGGGGGCTGCCATTGTCCATTTGTTCATGGAACGGTGCCCTGCTTTGTCCGTACAACCTAGGGGCGTAACGAGCGAAGGGGTTGGAAGGGAGGGGG